CTCACCTATGGGCCCTTATTTTCAATTTGATAGCAAAACAGTAAAAATGGTATAGTAGTGTATAAGTTCTATATCCACGTAAAAAAGAAAAAAAGATGAAGAATGATAATGAGGACACCATTTATAATATACACCAAACATCAAAGTTTCACAAGACATTTTATGGGTTTTTAGTTTAAATTTTTGCCCCATTTTTGGTCATTCGACTGTTCCCACCCATTAGCTAGAGTAACTCCCTCCAAGACACATTAAGCAAGCCAACAGCATCTTTACTAACTGCCGCTAACAGTTTTCTTACACTGCATTTTCTTCCAGGGCGCCGTGGAGTCCATAGCCATGAAAAACCCCAAAGAGAGAACTGCTCTGTTTGAGGAGATCTCCCGCTCTGGGGAACTAGCTCAGGAGTACGACCGCAGGAAGAAAGAGATGGTGAAGGCAGAAGAGGACACCCAGTTCAATTACCACCGTAAGAAGAACATCGCAGCTGAGCGCAAAGAAGCCAAACAGGAGAAAGAGGAGGTCTGCAGATATCATAATAGCATATAATGATCTGATCTGGCTTTCCTGAGCATCCAGTGCTGTTTACTCCTGCATGTCATTATGTGCTTATTGTCTAAAATAAAATTTGTCTGTCTCTCTTCAACCCCAGGCTGAGCGTTACCAGAGGCTGAAGGATGAAGTCGTTAGAGCTAATGTACAGTTACAGCTTTTCAAGCTCTACCACAGTGAGTCTGAGATTGAGAAGCTCAACCGAGAGCTGTCCCAACGCAACCGGGAGATCGAGAAAGACAGAAAGAAGATGGATCATATTGAAGAGGAGCTAAAGGACAAGAAGAGAGAACTGGGGAGGATGATGAGGGAGCAGCAGAACGTGGAGAAGGAGATAAAGTGTGTGACAAGGAACTTTCTTATGACTTAAATCTTCAAAATCAACTGTATGTTAGAACTCTGAGATAAAATAGATTGAAATAATGTCTCTATGTTCACGCTCCTGAATTTTCTGTCATTCTGAAGTCTCTATCTGCTTCTTACAGAGAGAAAGATGCTGAGCTGAACCAGAAACGGCCTCAGTACATCAAGGCCAAGGAGAACACCTCACACAAGATAAAGAAGCTGGAGGTGGCGCGCAAGTCTCTGCAGAACGCTCAGAAGATGTACAAGAAGCGTAAAGCAGACATGGAGGAGCTGGACCGAGAACAGGGCGCTGTGGAGATGGCCAGGCAGGAGTTTGAGGAGCGCATGGAGGAGGAGGCTCAGAGTCAAGGCCAGGACCTCACTCTGGAGGAGAACCAGGTCTGATGAGCTTCAGATCAGCTGTGTATGTGATAACTGTACATTCATAGAAAACTTTGACCCCATATGGGCTTTGGTTTAGGAGAGACCAAAAGATGAAAAGTTCTCTTTGAGAAATGGTTCTCAAGTAGAACCCTTTTACAAGAATAAGAGCTTCCTAGCTCCCAAAAGCTGTCACGAAATCCAGGGAGTCTGATGCGAGTGCAGAAGTGACTTTAATAATAAAACAACTAAAAAACAAATGAAGACTGGAGAAGAACCAAAAACTAAAACAGAGGACTAGACTAAGGCAAGGCAACTCAACATAAAACAAAAGCTAATCCCAAGCGCAAATACAACATAACAGTAGAAATTACAGCATATATTTATTGAATGCTTCTCAGCCAAGGAGGCAACACACACAAGTAAATAGGGTGACTAATTAAGGGAACACAACTCAGGTGTGAGCAATCAGAGGACATGAGCAAGCAACAAACATCAGAAATGCGTGAGTGAGGGTGCCCTCTGGTGGTCTGAGGGAATTGTCTGTACTGGACCTGACAAAACTATATATATAAAATAATAATAATAATAATAATAATAATAATAATAATAATAATAATAATAATAATAATAATAAATAAATAAATAAATAAATAAATAAATAAATAAATAAATAATCATCCTCAAAATCTTCCAAAAACATAATGATTGTACACTCAGAAAATATTGAACACTTAATGGTTCTTTCGTCGTACTTCTGTAGGAACCCTGAAAGATCCTATGTAGAACCCTTCATCAGTGTTTCCTACAGATAGGGTTCCAAGCAGAATTATTTTACAAGGCTAAGAAATCATCGAATGAATTCTTAATCATCATTGAAGAAACATTTTTTTTGGAAGAGTGTACCAATAACTATTTATCACCATTTTAAATGCCTCACAGGTTCTAAGTATTAAGAAGAAAATAATTTGTTTATAAAGTTAATACATAAACTCCTAGGGAAAAAAAAGGTTCTTCAAAGGTACTTAAAGTGTTCACTGGATGATTATGGGATTGCAGGGGGAAAAATCTCAATATAATGCTTGAAAACCAAAAATCTGGTTATACTTCTGGGGGGAACCGTTAACGGTTCTATGTTGAACCTTACAATGACACGTCTTAGCCATGTAAAGTAGAACCCTGTACAAAGAACTCTTGGAACCATTTCAGATAGAAAACCACTCTCTTGTACTGTTCTACATTGAACCTTTAACGGGCCTCCCAGAGGAACAACAACAAACATTTTTTTTAAAGAATATATTTTATTGAACAAAAAGAGACAACTTTTATGAAAGAGTCAAGAGTCAAAAGTGTATAAGTAAAGCTTTAAAAAAGACGTATAACATTACAGTCCTGATTATAGAGTTCAGAAAGTACAGAGTGAAAAATATATCAAATGTTCTTGAAATCTGAAGAGTGAGTGAATCAACAGTACACATCATTGATTCTAATTAAAACTTGAGGTAACTAATGTTAGAGGAAAAGACACCAATCCTTTCTGGCGGAGGGAAGAGGTTGAAATATGATGTGTGCTGGGTAAGAAAGGACATAGCATGACTTTAGCATTTACAGTATGTTCATCACATGTATTAACTCTAATCGTTGTTCATATTTCAGTACATTTTATTTTCTCCTGTATCTCACAACAAAATGGCCTGCAGGTAAAGCAATACCACAGGCTGAAGGAAGAGGCGAGTAAGCGCGCAGCCACTCTGGCACAGGAGCTGGAGAAGTTCAACCGGGATCAGAAAGCTGACCAGGACAGACTGGATCTTGAGGAGAGAAAGAAAGTGGAGACAGAGGTAGACACACATTCATGCAAAAACACATTTTATTTTCATATAACATTTAATATAACATTAAAGTGCTACAGTAGGTCTTTAGTGGGATCGGACCAGACTGGCTAGCCTTTGCTCCCCACACATATAATTGATCCTTGGTTCACCAGGTGTTCTTCCTTGGACCATTTTTGGTAAGTACTAAACACTGCATACCAGGAACACCCCATAATACCTGCTGTTTTGTTGATGCTCTGACCCAGTCGTCTAGCCATCACAATTTGGCCCTTGTCAGAGTCACTCAGATCCTTGCCCATTTTTCCTGCTTCCAACACGAGACCTGACTGTTCACTCACTGCCTAATATATCCCACTTCATGACAGGTGCCATTGTAACAAGATTCTCAATGTTATTCACGTCACCTGTCAGTGGTTTTAATGTTATGGCTGATCGGTGTATGTCATTTTAAAACTATAACATCACACATCAAACCCTAGGCTTTACTCGCATACCTTTACTTGTATCGTTTGGGCTTTACTTTATCTTGCATATTTGAAATGGTGTTTTATTTACATTTGCCATTATAGTCACATTACACAGGACATGTAATCCCACATACTGTAGTATGATAATTGATATTTTATACAGTGCTTTTTCTTCTTCTTCTTCTCTCTACTGGTTATTCATTCAAAATGAGGCGTCCTGATCTGTACCATTCATGTGGCAGAATTTTGGCAGAAAAATCCACCTACTTCTTCATTTCTGTATCACTCCAATTTCTACACATTTCCCCTTTTCTTCTTCTTTGTTGGCATTTCCTTGTTTTACAACGCTGTTCAAATGTTTCATAACGAGTCAACATTCGATCAGCTAAATAGTCAAAACAGCGTCTTCTTTCCATGAAGGAATCTTCTTTTGTTCACACATGAGTTCATCTGACAATTTCCCGGAGCTTCTACAATGTCTCTGCATCAGTCTTCCCTGAATTGTGACTCTGGCACGTGTTCTTACTGAATCCTTTCTTGAGTTTTGAGTAATTAAGTTGTGAAAGGGTGCCCTTTGTGGGAGTCATTATACACACTGACATTATTGTATCAATTTACTTTACTTTACTGCAGGCAAAAATCAAGCAGAAATTTCGAGAGATTGAGGAAAACCAGAAACGTATTGAGAAACTGGAAGATTACATTGCGACCAGCAGGTATAACTCTAACCCCTTGTTTTACCTTCATTCATTTCACTTATATCTTGAACTGTAAATATTGAATCTCAGTGGGCGATTAATTATTGAATTATTTCAAAATTAATTCTTAAATTATTTATCACCAGGCAGTCGTTAGATGAACAAAAGAGGATGGAAGAGGAACTGACTGAGGAAGTGGAGCTCGCTAAAAGGAGGATTGATGAGATTAACATGGAACTAAACCAGGTAAAATCTCACACACATCCACAATAATAAAATAAAACAACAACAACAACATAATAATAATAATAATTACAATAATTTATCTATTCATCATAATGCTGCTGGGTCCAGGTGATGGAGCAACTTGGGGATGCGAGAATTGACAGGCAGGAAAATAGCCGTCAACAGCGCAAAGCTGAGATCATGGAGAGCATCAAGAGGCTGTACCCTGGCTCTGTAGTGAGTGAAAGATGTTTCATTTATTAACAACATTTATTTATAAATTCATTTTAGTCTACCGGTTATAAACCTGTTTACTCCACTACCACAGTGCTGATGATTTCTTGAATCTGATTAGTCCAACTCCAGTCATTATTTTATAAAAATAATGTGTGCTCCATAATGTTTTCATTTACATTTACACGCCCTTTTCCAGAACTTACATTTATCACATTTATACAACTGAGCATATGAGGGTTAAGGGCCTTGCTCATGGGCCCAGCAGTGGCAGTTGGGATTTGAACTCACGACCTTCCGATCAGTACTCCGACATCCTAACCACTGAACTACCGTTAATAATTTCACAATATTACACAAGCAAGAGTGATGTTGAAGTGAAAGGCTTCGAGCATGGCTGCGGTTCAGCAGTAGGCATGAGGCGTTAAGTAATCACAGCTGTGCTGATAGTCAGTGTGACATTGCTTGTATACAACAGTTCCATAAACAAGAAATTAAAATCAGGTAACTGCCATTTCAGACATAAATATGGGCAGATATTTTGTTCAGCTTTGCTCCAAAAACAAAAAAGGTTCCCAAAGAAGCCCCACCTGGAGAAGTTGCTATGCAGCGCACAGACTGACTAACAGCACATAGTAAGTGTGATAACGGTTTCACTGCAATGAATTATTGCTAGAATTCTTTTTAAAGCAAATACAGACAAGCTGTTATACTAAATATGAGCACTCTTGAAATTAGTGGACCGGATCTCACAGGTAATTCATAGGGACGTGTATGGTGGACGCTGATTAAAACCAAATAATCAACCAATTAAAATGTGTTGTTATTTAGCAAAGAAAAGTGTTCAATTAAAAATAATTGTTTATGTGGTGAAGGAGAAAATTACTGAACTTTTATGGAAAAAGCCTCCAGTGTCACACTTTCCTCCATGAGAGAAGGGACAAGTGGTGTTTTTGTTTTTTATTCACTTATAGACTGGTGAGGGAATGACTGTGTATAGCTGCTCTAATGTGAATGGTACAGGATTGAACTCATATCATTAAATGTAACTATATACTGATAAAAAGTATGACTTGTTGTTTTTTTAATGTAATTATTGTTAATTTGCTGTAGTATAAGAGGAGTGGTATTGCCATCAATGATTTTCCTTTATCAGCTCACTCCAAAGTATTTTAATCTTTATTTAATGTCTTTATCTACTCAGTATGGCAGGCTTATTGACCTATGCCAGCCCACACAAAAGAAATATCAGATTGCCGTGACAAAGGTTCTGGGAAAGAACATGGATGCCATCATTGTGGACTCAGAGAAGACAGGTAGAGACTGCATCCAGTACATCAAAGAGCAAAGAGGAGAACCAGAGACTTTCCTGCCCTTGGACTACCTAGAGGTACATTCTGGAAACTGAAAATCAGTTGTGAGGTTTCAGACATTTTTCAGTCATAATCGGCTTCTCTTACGTTCCTCCTTGAAGGTGAAACCCACGGATGAGAAATTGAGAGAGCTGCGAGGGGCCAAGCTGGTGATTGATGTGATCCGCTATGAACCACCTCACATTAAGAAAGCTTTGCAGTATGCCTGTGGAAATGCTCTTGTGTGTGAGAATGTAGAGGATGCACGCAGGATTGCCTTTGGAGGGCCTTACAGGCATAAGGTGAACATGTTGTGTATGGCACACATATACAGGAACGTGTTTGACATATATTCAGTAGCCTTTTTGTATTAATACTTTGTTTTTCTTTCTCAAGACTGTAGCCTTGGATGGCACACTTTTCCAAAAGTCTGGGGTGATCTCTGGAGGAGCAAGTGACCTCAAAGCGAAGGCTCGACGCTGGGATGAAAAAGCCGTGGACAAACTCAAAGACAAAAAAGAGAAGCTAACCGAGGAGCTCAAGGTAACAAAGCAATGATTATCAAGTCTCCATGTTGTTCAGGTTTAGTCAGAACATAGAATGAATGCAGACAGTGAAAAGAGGCTTGTGTTTTTTTGCTATTCACCTTCATTAATTCTTTCTTTTCAGGAGCAAATGAAGGCAAAGAGGAAGGAAGCAGAGCTGAGGCAGGTGCAGTCTCAGGCCCATGGATTACAAATGAGACTGAAGTACTCTCAGAGTGACCTGGAACAGACCAAAACACGCCACCTGTCCCTAAACATGCAGGTACTCTGAAGAAAATGTGTTGTCGTTTGATAAAATGGTTTAAAAGGCTTTACTCCAAGGAGTCATGGTTAGCTGACTGTCTTTTTAGGAGAAGTCAAAGTTGGAGAGCGAACTGGCAAATTTTGGACCCCGAATCAATGATATCAGGAGAATTATCCAGTCACGTGAGAGAGACATCACACAGCTGAGAGACCGCATGAACCTGGTAGGAGCTTGGATTGAATGATATTCAACTACACCATTCAACATGGGCTGTATTCAGGGTTTGAATTAAAATCGAAATAGCAGACATTGGTATTCAGGTATATATAACTACAGGCGTACGTATGTGCTATTCAGAAGTTGCGCGAGAGTTGACGGTTGGCAATATGTGAAATTCTAAACTTGAACTTAGGTACAATTTTCTTGTGTGATTTTGGCTCGAGTAAGGAGCAGTAAGTCCAGGGCCACTGTCAGACAGTTTCATGTAACCACAATATGCCATAGTGAAATATATGTTTTGGGCTGTAATTACACTCAAAAAAACCTGGGAATGCCGTATCACACCAATATTAAATACATGAATATTACACCAATGAGTCATTAATAGTGTTATTAATTATTAGTAACTTACTTAATTAATAATACTGCCTCTTTGGAATCTATGAAAGAAATCTCTCTTTTTCATATGGAGGGCATCTTAATCTGAGAATTTGCCTCAGCTGTGGACCAAATTATTAATGGATACAATTATGAATTACACTTACTTAAAGTGGGCTGCAAGCAAGCGGTGCTTGGTCAGCTTATCATTCAAACCATAGACATGTTTACTGAATGAACAAAAACATATTCATTATTTTAGCAAAGTTGTATGGTCAATTATTTGTCGGCGCATTATATATATATATATATATATATATATATATATATATATATATATATATATATATATATATATATATAAAAATAAAGAAAAGAAGCAAAATATTAGATTGTGCTGGACCAAGTGCTTTTTTATAAGCTGCCGTATAGTGAGGTTGGAAGCCATATTATTAAATATTGTTAAACCCAGAACATCAATTTAAGGAGTTTTGTACCCCATCTCTGAATACCAGTAATTTTCCTTGTGCAAGTCTTCAACTCAGATTGGATTCAGACCTATAATTGTAAGTTGTCAATTGTGAATTATTAATGATACCATTTTCCAGGTGGAGGATGAAGTATTTGTGGAATTCTGCAAAGAGATTGGAGTGAGAAATATCCGAGAGTTTGAAGAGGAGAAAGTCAAAAGACAGAATGAAATCGCCAAAAAACGGTGAGTGCTTGTGGCATTTGGACTTTGACGTTCACCTATTGCCTATTCATTACACTTTAACAATATTACAGACTTGAATTTGAGACCCAGAAGACCCGCTTAGCCATTCAGCTGGACTATGAGAGGAACCAACTGAAGGAGGACCAGGAGAAAGTGATGATGTGGGAGCAGACTGTGAAGAAGGATGAGAGTGAGATTGAAAGACTAAAGAAGGTAATGACGCAGGAAATCAGTTCAGTGCCAGATCTGGGTTTGATCCTGAGCTCTGATTACTGTCCACGTTGAATTTTGCATGTTCTCCCCATGGGTTCTTCGGTTACCTCCTACCTCCTAAAAACATGCTGGTAGATGGGTTGGCTATGTTAACTTGCCACTAGGTGTGAATGTGTGTGTATACAAGGTGCCCTGAAATGGACTGCTGTCCCATCCAGGGTGTATTTCTGACTCTCACCCAGTGTTCCCTGGATAGATTAAAGATGCACCATGATCCTGACCAGGATAAAGCAGTTACTGATGATGATGATGATCTTCCTTGATTATTTGATTATCATTGTTTTGATTCAAAGCCATCAGTCTAATCTTTTTTTTCCTCACTTTGTCCCTCAGGAAGAGCACAGACAGATGAAGATCATTGACGAGACCATGGCTCAGCTGCAGGACCTCAAAAACCAGCACCTGACTAAAAAAGGAGAAGTCAATGACAAGAACCGAGAGATGGAAGATATCCGCAAGAAACTAGGGTCTGCCAACAAGTGAGAAAATATAATTACTGTCTATTCCATCTAAATTTGGCAGCTTTTACTCAAATAGAGCTGATAAAGAACTTAATGATACTAGTAGTATTGAGATTTATCATCTGTGATCTTTGTGACGATATGATGCTTCTAGAGAGTTGACTCAGCTCCAGAAAGAAGTGACCGCTATTGAGACGAAGCTGGAGCAGAAGCGCAGTGACAGGCGCAACCTTCTGCAGGCCTGCAAGATGCAGGACATCAAACTGCCCCTCAAATCAGGAACCATGGATGATATCAGCCAGGAAGAGGTAGAGTGCTTAGTAAAAACTGAACTCCTTAATCTAAACGCATCTTATAAACCAGTTACAATGTTAATTATTTGGATAGTTACGGTAGCTTTCGAAAGGGTGCTGTTGGGAACCCCTTCTAAGAAGGAAACCTTCTGTTGTAGGGTTCTTTGATGGTTCTCCAAGAGGACCATTAAAGAATCCTGCAACAGTACAACCAAGAACGCTTTTTTGTAAAACTTTGGTTCACTTTTACCTTGTGGATTCTACATACAGGGAGGCTCCCAAGCTGATGAGTCCATCAGCAGCCACAAAACCTCCAGCTCTGTGCGTGCCAAAGAGGCCCTCATTGAAATCGACTACAGCATCTTGCATGACGACCTCAAAGTATTTCAAAAACTTACACCAAAAAGTCCAAATCCATCCTAATGCAATTTCCTTGAAAAAATACTATATTTATATAAATGAAAACCACACAGAAGTTAGTCATCCTCTTTTTGAACAGGACGCTTTGTCTGAGGAAGAGATCAAAATTGAGATGAACACTTTGCAGCAGAGGCTGAATGAGCAGCAGAGCATCCTCCAGCGCATCAGCGCTCCCAACATGAAGGCCATGGAGAAGCTGGAGAGCGTCAGGGACAAATTCCAGGAGACCAGTGATGGTAAGCCAAGGCGGTCAGGAAACTAAGGCTACTTTTATTTCTGAATATAGATCACTGAGCAATTGTGTAGCTTTGTAAAATCACCAGTCTAGTTCTGAACGCATCTTTGCCTTGGAGGCAGAACAAAATTGATTGGTTAATAACTCATGGGTAGACCTTCTAAAAACCTCCCTCAGAGGCAGCAAACCATTTCAGTATAAAAT